ACTATCTGGTCGGATTCCAGGCTTCGCAACACCTTATACTGTTATCTGGTCGAAATCCAAGCTTTATAGTGTCTTTGAATAAGCGAACTACTATCTGGTCGAATTTCAGGCTTCGTAGCACCTTATACTGTTATCTGGTCGAAATCCAGGCTTCACAGTGTCTTTGAAGAAGAGAACTACTATCTGGTCAGATTCCAGGCTTCATAGCACCTTATACTGTTATCTGGTCAAAATCCAGGCTTCACAGTGTCTTTGAAGAAGTGATTGACTATTATCCGGTCAGTTGTTGGGCTTCATAGCTTCCATAAATAGAAATCTTATCATTGATTTGACTGGACCAAAGAAAGGTCTTGAATTAACTTTGACTGGCATAGTAATAAGGAGAATCTTAGTAGCGATTCAACTGATTCAGACGAAAGTCTTGGAATATCTACCACTGGAACAGTAATCAGAGAGATATTAGTGTCGATCTGGCTGATCCAGAGAAAATCTTGCGAGCACATCTTTCTGTGGAAAATCCCGGAATAGCCCTTCGTTAGACGTAGCTTGTTGATGTGATCTTTTCCATGAAAGGTAAAGAGTTAGTCATATGCAATGTCATGATGTATGCATTGCGTAATGATGTTCTCAAAATAAATGAGATTTGTGTTATATGTATTTTGTATAGATGTGCTATGAATGTTGTTGAAATGTAATTTTTCCTTGGAAAATAAATCCTTGACAAGTGTTGGGGAGTTTTTAAATCCCGGACTGTTGTTGAAGAGTAGGTGTGTCTTCAAGCTTTGCTTAGAATGTTTCCACCGAGGATTCTTGTTTTTTTATTTGAGGAGAAATCCGCTGGGGAATATTGAAAACTCTGTGGAGAATGTTGATTCCTATTCGGGGAAAAGAGATCAGGAGTCTCGGTTGTCCGTTGCTCTACTGGGAGTTAGCTCTTGATGGACGAAGTTGAACTGATATTTGGTCGGGTCCAGGCTTCACAATAACTTGCTGGGGATTGTATAGTAGTCTACTGGGGAAGAGGAGTTGTGGTCCTCCGATTTGTAGTAGTTGGAGAGGCAAACTCAAGCTGGGGGAAATCCTCGAGGGTTCTTGAGGTTAACTCAGCTGGTGAGAAGTTTTCAGAGATTGAAACTATGGCTGGGAGTCATCTTATGGGAAGGATCTTGGGAACATTTATCACTTCCCCTAGTATTAAGTATTATAGTAATGCCAGAAAATGTTTTCTTGGTCTCACATGACCCTTTGTGTGGGAGCCTGTTTGCCCTCAGAGTTAATCTGGTGCACCTTGACGCTTGAGATTTTGATCACATTTCCGGTAGCCCTGAACTTCCTAGAGATATTTTCTAAGACTGTTGTGGAAGAAATTGAAGACCCGGTACTGACACCATCTAATACTACTGGCACATACGAACAAATTGGTGGTACCCAAGATCTTTGGTCAAGTCTCAGAATTTTCTAAGAACTATCATGGGAGGATCCAAAGACATGATACCGACACCATCTAATACTGACACCATCTGATATTGTTGCTACAGACAAACAAATGGTGGTACCGGAAGTCTTCATAGTGGATATTGTTCAAACCCCTGATCAACATGACATTTCCCCTTGAGTGATACATATGGAGATTTGTTCCTGGTAATTCAACATTTCTTGAGAGATTTCTTGGAATCTTAACTGGACTGCCCCAGGTGTGCTGTATAGTGACATGTCATGCCCCTTTGTTGATAGGAGATTTTTCATTGGAAGTGTCATCCCACTTGAAGTGATTTTGTTCACTAAGAGAGCTTTCGTTCATCGAATATTTACTGTGTGAATTTCTCTGTTGTTAAACAAATAGCCATATGCAAACAGTGATATTCAAATAATGCAAAGTTTATGCTTGTCTTGAAGTTTTGAAAATGCGTTTTAGCAAGTAAAGAAATTTCGTAAGAAAAATTCAACTCAGGATTTAGAGTAATGCCTTACAGGAGTCAGGATACCTTTTTGTAACAGTATGCTTTCGAACTAACCCATGCTTCAATTAGGACTTTTGAAGGGTTGTAACATGGCTTGGTTCATGGTTTAAGAAACAAAGTATTAAGGCTCAAAGTGTATTTTTACCCACCCATTCTTCGTGATGTTCTTCAGTCCCAAACTCAGTTAATTGTACGTTTGAACTCCAATTGAGTCTGGAATGACGTTTTGGTGATGGTTCAGACAAGTTTAGTTTATCAGAAGGCAGTCATTTTTGCAACATTTTTTCATGTTGTCGAGGATTCATAGTGTCCTATTTATTTTGATTTGTTATCCCTAATTTTTGCCTGACAGTTCTTGTTTTGAGATTACAGTCAGCGGGATGCCCCAGTTTTTCTTAAGTCTCCTTTGTAGTTTTTGACTTAGTGGGCTTTTCTTTTTTGAGAGATAATGACTGCCTATGTGATAGGGAACCATCATCGCCTTTTGATTCCATAGGAATGTTTTTGATATCACTCGTCGTATACAAAGTGAACACGCATTTGAATTAACTAAGAGACTACCTTGCCCCAGGTTTTGATTAAAGGTTTCAATTTGTGTAAAAAAAGAAAACTTCTACTTCTTTGGCTCGAAGGGGTTGACTAGGGATTATCCTCCTTATAACTCCAGTGTTTGGGATTTGAAAGAACGCCTGTACATCGTCAGTAAGGTCTGTTCAAAAGCATACTGTATGAGATTATGGCATTGTTTTCTTCATCCTCCTTCTAAAGGCTTGTAACTTTTAGCAGGAGTTGAATGTCATAAAGAGAGCAAAAAGCATAGTTTAAATATAGTGAAAACGAATGAATGAATTCAGGACAAACATGTGCAATGCATTAATGAAACAAAGTTTGACATTAATAGATAATTGTTTAAATAACAAAGAGATTACAACTTGAAAATTCAAATGAACAGAAAATTTCCTCGTCCCGATCGTCACTTCATGTGGATGCCCTTGAGGGGTGGTAGAAGAGTTCTAATTGATCGTCTTGTGTAAACTCCAACACTCCTTCGTCAATTAGGTCTTGAATCCTGTTCTTCAGAGCCCAACAATTATTCGTGTCGTGCCCGGGACCGTCGGAATGGTAAGCACACCTCTCTTTGGGACGGTAACTAGGAGCAACAGTGTTAGGATTCCCAGGAGGAGCCTTTAATGTAATTAGCTCTGCCTTTAACAAGTGTTGTAGCACCTAAACTAGCGACATGTCAATCCTGGTAAATTGTCTCTTAGGTGCGACCTCCTTGCGCTGATTCCTTTGTTGTTGTTGGCGAGGTTGTTGTTGGACTCGAGACGTGGTAGCAATTTGAAACGATCTACTCTCCACTAAACCGGCTTCATGTGAAACAACCGGCTGAAAATCATCAATCAATGAAGTCGCCATCGAACATCTTTTATCCCACATGTAGGGAAAGGTAAACATCGAGAAAACCTGATGAGGGAGAAGTCACGGTCTTGCAACCGAGAGATCGGGTAAGGGAGTCTGTTATGCGAGGGGAAGGTATTAGCACCCCACACGCCCGTAGTACTCTACGGTATCCACTCTTGTTATCTATCTTATGGGTGTGTTTAATCTATGCTTACTGTCTACTATACTACTGGAGGAATGCATGCAAAAGAAAGGGGAAAAGAATGTAGGGAAAATAAAATTGTTCTCGCCTGGGCCCTACCCCAATGCCTACGTATCCTTTTTGAGGAATCAGAGCTACCGTATTTCGGCTCACATGTTTTTGTTTGTTTGTGTTTTTTATGGACGAAGTTAATTCCGCCTTCTGCCGCAGCTCGACCTTTGGAGACTTACGTGTTGACACAGAAGTAAATTAATCGCATCCTTACCTGAAAAGGGTTTAAAAGAAAAGTGCTCGAGCGCACAAAAGATTTGAGTTGGTTTATATTTTGTTATAGATGTTTTTTGTGGACGAAGTTAATTCCGCCTTCTGCCGCAGCTCGACCTTTGGAGACTTATGCGTTGACACAGAAGTAAATTAATCGTGTCCTTATCTGAAAAGGGTTTTTAGAAAAGTGCCCGAGTGCACAAAAGATTTGAACTTGTTTTGTATTTTTGTTGTAGATGATGACTGATTGACCTCAAGAGAGAGATATTAGCCATTTTTCTACTGAGCCATGAAAGGAGTTTTTGAGAATTGAACCACACCTAAGCTTTAGATGAAGAACAATAAGATCGAGAAGAGACCTGCTTATCATTTCTCGTACTAAGCAAAAGCGTGATTCTCATCAGTAGTTTTAAAGTGTTTTGAATTTTGAAAGAAAAGAAGTTTTAGTTTTAGGTGCGTATGTTCAAAGAGAAAGAAAAGTCAAATGGGACTAGCTTACTTCTAAACCTAATGTTATCGTGCGTTAGTAGTCATAAGATTTAGGTTAAAGGGGAAGTTTCTACCTGATGTTAGTATGCATATGGATTGCGATTAAGTACAAAAATGAAGAATAAAATAGATTTGTGACGATACCGAACGAAGAAGGTCCGTTGCCTCTTCAAAATTGTGCAAGCGGTAAGGAAATTCTATCAAAGTTCCCCTGGGCAAGTGATTGAAGAATTAATCCCGAGTATTCCACACTGCCAGAGTTATGTCGACGCTACAAAAAGTCTCGACTAGAAAATGGCAATAAAAATGATTATCGAATATGAAAAAATAAAATAGAAAGAATTCTAATCGAAATTCTAAAAAGAAATTCTATTCTAAAATATTCTATTATTTTGATTGTCAATTGAGAGAAAAAAATTTAAACTAAAAGAAAAACTAAAATAATAAAAGAAAAGAAAAATTAGAAGAGTTAGGGGGTATGAAGTCTAGAAATATGAGTGCTGAAGTAATTTGCCCAAAAAGATTTTCAACATTTTATTTATTATTTACTTAGTTATTATTATTATTAATTTGAAATAAAAATATAAAATAATAAAATTGTTAAACTAAATGAAAAAAAAGTATATGAAAATTGAAAAGGGAATAGGGTTTTTTGAGAACTATGCTTCGTCCTCTCCTTCATGAACGACGCGGCGAAATTCTTCATCTCCCTCACGAGATCGGACGGCGCGGCTACTCAACCTTTCTTCTCCGATCGAACATCAACCTCCAGTGTCGAAGCTCCGCTCACCTCTGTCACGTTTCGTTCTCATCTCTCTTGCGATTCCGGATTTAGCGCAACACTAAATCGATCGGTGAAACACGTAGGCTTACTTGCAATGATCCGAAAAATGAAGAAGAGAAAACCAAATAGGAGTTTCCACAGGTACGAAATTGCTCATGCCTTTCTTCTTGTTCTTGTGCTATCTTTTCTTTCTTCTGCTTCTAATTCTGCGATTCTGAGATTCTGTGCGTGTGTTGTTGAGGGTCGAAGATGATGAAGATTAAAATTGTAACAGATTCGTGTTATTTAGGCGTTGCTGTACGTGATGATGAGAAGATGCTGACGTTAGGAGCAATGCGGAAGATGAATGAAGTAGATGATCATTGATGATGGAAGATTCGGATGCGATTCTGTTGGTTCTGAGAATTTGTGGTGAGTTCTTAATCTCTCCTCTTTTTTCCACTTCAATCTCATCTTCTTCGATTAACTTCTCAGGTTTGTCACACACGACCATGAGCAATCGTCTCCGCGTCTCCATGTCTTCGTTCATCTTCAATTCATTTAGTGATGCAACAAATTGTTGTTTTTGTAGATGCAGTGATGTTCGGAGATGATGATGGAGGTTGATGAGAGTGAAACGATTGCAGTTGTGAAGGTTGAAGCAGAAGGTTATGGTGATGGCGATGGTGCAGTTTTAGAGAGAGTGCAGAGAGAAATTCTAATTTTCTGCAGAGTTATGATTGTGGTGATTCTTCAGAATTTGAAGAATGGAGAAGATTAAGATGAGAGAGAGAGAGAGAGAGCAGAGAAGATTGAAGATTTTGGTGAGTTCTTTTGCAGTTCTTCTCTGACTTTCTATGAATAATCGTATCCTGTGAATAATTTCTCCCTGCTCTCAATCCGTTACCTTTTTGTTTGTTGAATCCTTTTTTTATTTGTGATCTCTCTCTCTATATGCTGGAAGTTTTGTTATTTATAAGCCATGAGTTGGTTAGGAGGTAGTTGGTTTGGATATGTTATTCTGTTATGCAGTGTTAGAGATTCAGTTAGGTGGTTAGAATTTGGTTAGGGGTTGTTAGGAATTGGTTACTGAATATGGTTGGGGTAATGCTGTTAGAAGTGGTTAGAAGGTTATTGGGAAAAATGGAAAGTTGGTTGGTTAATTTCGGTTAGGAGTTGGTTTGTTGTTTTCTGTTGCAGTAAGTGATTCTATGGTTGCTCAACTGGAATTGGAGGGTAACTCACACTTTGAACTTGGAATTTGATCTTGTCAGTATAATTAATATTAAATGATGAATCAATTTCTTCACCATAATCCCAAAACCATGTGCCTTTGTTTTTGTTGCTATTTTCAGGTTCATAGCGGTTTGGATTGGGCATGTGATGAGTAGGAATGTAAATGTCGTCAAAGAATCCAATGGATAAGCGCAAGCCATCAGCATCAGATGAAACAAGTTTTCCAGTAATAATCTCCCCATTATCCAAGAAAAGCCTCTCAAGCTCCGTGTGTATGGCTTCTCCAATGGGAAGAGCGAGAAGAGAAGGAGGCAAGGTCAATTTATGCTCAATCTTACTGAGATAAAACATTGACGCTATACCCTGTTAGGAAGTGCTATCCGGAAGAAACAGCTCTTTATGGAATTGACGGTGAAAATTAGGATAGGTTTTGGTAAAAATGTATAGATGTTATGTATAATTGTAATGGAACTTGGACTTGTATGTATTTGAATAATTGTAATGTATGTTGACTTTATTTCCATATAATGAAATGGCCTTTGTATGAATTTAAATAAATGGTATGAATCCAAAATATTTGCAAGGTATCCAAAAGAGACATGAATCTTGAATGAATCCAAGAGAGGCTATTTGGACAATATTTTGATGGTTGGATGAATTTGATACATGTTTTTTCATACTTGTGGTTTGAATTCCAAGAAAAGCCACGCAAATATTTAAGAACTTTGATTTTCTCCAAATCCACTTCAACTATTAATGAATGAATTCTAATCAAACTACAGCTTCAGTGAATCCCTAATTCAATTCAATTCCTCAGTATAAACCAAACTTGTGTGTCAAGCAATAAGCATTTGAAATAATGACACCTTGATCACAATCAACATCTTGTACCATGTCCCGACTATATGAGCACTAGTATAACGACGTCTTGGACCCCTTCTCAATAGATGATAATGACTATGCCCTGAAGGATTCTTTGCAGATGAATACGAAAGATGAGACATGCGAATACCTTGATATGGACTGAACCTCAGGTAGAATGCTGACAAGCTCAAGTATGAAAATGTATAAACCCTGATTTTTAGCTTCGTCTCATAAAACCTTGCAACTTGACATTGAGAAGAAAAGAATAGCCTCGTAGCTTGATGATGATAAGGTCCATGAAATGAAAACCTAGCTTCAAACAAATTATTAATGGAGAAATCAAACGAAACAAGCTTGTGCGAAGATGGGAGCCTTAAAGCCATACACCAACCCTTATTCCTCGAAATCCATGATCTTATGCCAATTTATGTTGTTAGCGAATGTATGCAATGTTAAATGACCTAATGGAAATACGTACATGAGAAAAACGCGACAATGCATAAACCAGATAAAAGTAGAAGGGTAGGACAAATTTGGGGTATTACATCATGTTGCATGGGAGGCTGAGCAGTGACTTGATCTCTAATTTTGGCTGTTTGCCTCATACAGTTGTAACCGTCTTGATGAAGCTGGTTGACAAGAATTTTCAGCTCTTCTTGTCCTTGAGCCAGATTTTTGATAAGAGCCATCTGGCCCACCAGTTGTCCCATCATTTGGACTTTCATTACTGATATCTCGGTTTGTAATCGCTCTAACTGGTCATCTCTATCGTCGCCAGGATTCCCCATGACCATGCCCCTTGTGAGTAGCGCCTTCACCTCTTCTTGTCCCTTGGATATGTTCACGAACATATCTTGAAGTCGAGCGTTTTGAGTCTGGATGTCCTTGATGGTTTGTTCCAGGGCCATCTCCACTGAAATAAACAGTAGGAAGATAAGGAGGCCTATATGGGAGAAACCTGTCATGATATGATGCATGATGATGCATATGCAAATGATTTCAAGGAAATTAGAGATTTAAATTTGCTTTAGACAAAAAAGGAACACATGTTATATTAATAAATCAAAGTTTGAATACATCATGCCTCTTTGGGCTTTACAAAGAAATAAAAATACAAAACTTTAAGACAAAAAAGTTGAACGCATCCTCTTCGGTGAGATGTAGGCGTTCAGACTCCACTCTTCATGAAGCTGCTTGGTGAGTTCCAGAACTTTCTTCTTGTTGGCGTAGAATTGGGCTTCAAAAGTGTCTCTCTCTTCCTTAAGCTGTACCCAATCCCTTTGCAAGTATTCGAGAGAGGTGGTCATGTTAGGACAAAGGATAGTGTATGGGATATCTCCTTCCACAACAGGCTATATGATAACTGGAAGAATGGAGGGGTAAGGCATCATAAGACTTTGAGCACGAGCTCGTAACCATTTGAGATAAGGCTCAAGAGGGATGGAATTCTTGTGCCCCAGTGTCTTGCTATTAACTCTATGTACCATGCCCTAGGCTCGCATGAACCTTTTGCGGTGACCCTGAGCATCATTCTCGTAGTCGAAGATGATTCCTTGGATAAGTGTATCACGAGGACCATCCCTTCTTGCATATCCAAACTATCGTAGTGCCAAACAAGGATTGTAAGTGATTCCTCCCCTAATGCCTAAGAGAGGGACATTAGGGAATTCTCCGCATCGATCAATGATGGTAACGTTCTCTAAGAAATGAGGGTACCAATAAATGCCTGAATGTGTAAGAGTCATTAGCCTATGAGACCATCTCAAACCCTGTTCATTCGTCAAGACGGATCGGGGTAGGTGCGAAATAAACCACCTAGCCAAAAGAGGTGTGCAGCATATAAGGGTTCCTCTCCTCTTTATAGTGCGAGTATGCAACGAATGTAGGATATCTCCGAGCAGAGTAGGTACCATATTGCGTGACAGGAAAACCTTAACCGCATTCACGTCTATAAGCTGGTCCGGATTAGGAAACAATACCAACCCATAGATGAGAAGGTCTAACACCTCTTAAAAAGCTTGTAAGTCCAGGGTATCCCAAAAATGATGTGCTTTCTTAAACAGGAACTTAGCCAAAAAACCCTTGACACCTCTCCTGGTTTCCCAATTTGCTATTATGCCAGATCGTTGTAAGGACAGAGCTTTAGCAATATCTTCAGGTTTAGGGTCTCTTTCTATACCATTGAAAGGTACCTTGTTAAGGATAGGCACCCCCAGTAACAGAGAAAACTCCTCCATTGTAGGCACTAACTGGTAATCCGGAAAAGTGAAGCAGTGATATAGAGGGTCATAGAATTGAAAGAGCACTTTTAACATTTCGTCATTAGGGTTTAAGGTGACCAAGCTGAGAATTCGACCATGTCTTTCAGTGAATGGAGAGCTTTAGGGAACCCTTGATACCAAATCCTTAAGCTGAGGAGGTACTTTTACCAGACTGACTTGGAGAGTGAATCTGCGGGCGAGGGCCATGTCCTATAAAACAAGACAAAAATAAACCCTAAGAATCCTTGAAATGGTTAGTATGACATGCTATGTTATGATGTCATGATTATGCTCAGAGAGACCTTAGGTTTAAGGCTTGCATTGATTTTAAGGTAATACCCTCTTGAAGTTGGATTGGCTCAACCTGTCCTAAATATAGTAACCGGGTTCTAAGGGATTCCAATATCACCGGTCTTTCCCCCAAATCTCGTTCCGATGGACAATTGACTTGCCACCAAACAAAACTCAAGGGTCAAACCTCAATGAGTGTAGCATCGAGTATCAACCAACTTTGGGTTTACACCAACGACGGCTATCACACTACGTCCTAAAAGCCAAGTTGTTCAATTAAGGTGCTAAGGTCAGTTGACGCTTTAAGATACCACGCATCGGCCCCATATTCTCCTTGATTACTCAAGGGCTACCGGTACACACCGAAGTATCGTATCAATATAGATACTGTTTCAACCGTGTCGGTATACCCCGCACAGTTCCCTCATAGTTTATTGCTACTTACCTAAAAGGTGCTCCAAATCCGGGTGTAGGATTTTTAACAGTAACCCAAACAAGGACCCAAAATGTATAGCATACAAGTCAAACAATGAAATAAAGTAGATGGGATCTAGCCCTAAGGTAACCCCACTTTTAAGTTGTCCCCAGTGAAGTCGCCAGTTCTGTAATGCGGTGGGAGAAT